TATATACATACACATATATATACATACACATATATATACATACACATATATATACATACACATATACATACATACACAAATACAAACATACACAAATACATGCATACACAAATACATACATGCACAAATACATACATGCACAAATACATACAAGCATAAATACATACCACACATACATACATGCATGCATGCATACATACATACATTCATACATGCATGCACATATGTATTTGGGGTTCCAACCTGGGGATCTTATTGTGATACTGCAGTGGCTTAGATTAGGCAGTGTTGAGGCATAACGGGCGCAAACCCAAGAATCTCCAAGCGTTTCAAAAAGGCGCAGTTTTGCATTTTGTCTAGCTAAGCTGGGCTGTTACGAGTCCGTATAAACTTGACCAAGAATGGCAGGCTTGACTTTGCTGTATGTGGAACATGTCATTAACACCGCTAACATGTAAGCCCATACTGATTTTCTGAGCGTTCTTGGTAGTCCTGGTAATTTCATTTAAGCTGACTGGTAGTTATTCCCAGCAATTAGACTTATTTGTCCAAAAAAAATCGAAATTAAATCAAGAAGCGCAAAATTTGCTGATGATTCCCACCCCCATTTCGCACCGATTCTGCCATCTGTGCTTTCAGCTCAGGGATGAAACAGGTTATCAGGCCACTGCACATACAGGCTTGCTTATTTGGGAGATCTGAATCATTAATTCTCAAAATCCGATTGTATTCCTCTTGGCGGTAAGTCAACAGCGCCAAACAAACTGAATATGTTAAAAAATAGAAAAGAACTTCAGGCCCCCGTGCTCTTGCAATCTCTCAGTCAGGGATATTTATTGTTTTTTGTATCTTTAAAATTTTTGAAACATTTGGTTAGGGAAGCACTAAAATGAAATTGATGGTTCTACAAATGTGTTGGAAATCAAATAATATTGTCCAGATACGCTATTTTTTACTTCATAAAATATTATTCGTTTTGTAAAATTGTTGGAAAGTTGCCATTGTGAATCGAGTTTTTTTCGAAATCTTGAAAAAAAAGGCGCATTATTGGCTTATTTTTGTATATTTCTTTGTTTTCAGGTCGGCAACTGAAACTCGAAGGCGACAATTTCCGGCAGAAGTTGAACACGCAGCACATTTTTGATGACTGGGTAGCACGCGTACAAGCCAAAAATATTTCTCTGACGGGACGTGTATTTATTATCGAAAAACGTCAAAAAGATGGGAAGATTGCGCTGAATTTGAAAGTGAATTTCTCGAATGATGTTGTCACTCTCTTCAAAGAGGTCAGTTGGGGTTTTTCTGCGATTTCTTTTTTTTTTTGCGCTTTTATTTTGCGTTTCTTGCATTTATGCAATGCAAAAACACATTATCGAGGG